CAAAATAAACTCGGCTGCTTTGTGCTAAGTGTTGTTAATCAGCTTTTGCTCTCTAGGTGGTAATGAGCATATATTAACCATGACACCTCCTATCCACTGCAGTCAAAGATCTGGGAAAATGGCAAACTTGTTGCGGGCACACCTTGAGTGTAAAAGATGTTTTAAAGAAGACTCACTAGCTAAGTTTCCTTAATTAGGTAATTATAATGTAATTCACTGATAAGTCTGTCCTTCTAAGGACTGAAAAAGTAGAAGAAAAATATGTACAGCGCTCTAAAACACAGAAGCTCTTTTCAGTATATCCTCTTTCCTCTCCAGAACGCACGCATGCACTCTTTCTTGTCTCACTACCTTTTTTGCAGATAGCAAATTGAAATAAGTGGATCTGATAGCTCAAAGTTAGTATGAGTGCATTTGAAATGTAACAGATGTACTCTTTGAAAAAAATTCTGACTAAAGCCATGCTTTTTGGATGCTTTGTAACTTTCCTAACTGAAATGCAAAAAGATGCTTTAGCTAAAGAAAAACCACATATTCAGACATAGGAATCCCTATAGAAGATTGGAATTGATAAATAACGTGCTTCATCTCTGTCTTTAAGGGAAAATAATAGTTTGATGTAATATAGTAAACCTCAGTCTGTAGTACATATAGTGAAAACTCTTACATTATAGCTCTATCCGAGGGTGCTGAAAAAGAAAGTTTTTTTCTCTGAGTGAACTCAGTGACGGTTTTGAAAGAACCAATTTAGTGGGGAAAAGCTTTGGTGCATTTACGTTCTTTTCAGTCTTTTCAGTCAAACCATGGAAGATCAAGTCAAGAGTTATGGGCCACAGCTGTGTTCTTCCATTGAGATCTTCTATAGGACATCAGCTGAGCTGATTAAGAAATGGTGACCACAGCCACATTCCCTTATTCACTTTGAAAGGCAAATCCGTCCATTTGATTGAGAAGCATTGCCTTGCAACCATATTTTCCCATTCACTTTCAGTGGGCGGCTTAGATTTGATTAAGAAATACTGTCCTGTAATTACGTTCTCCCTCTCACGTGCAATGAAAAGCCTCTGAAGACAATTCGAGGTTTGAACTTTAAATAAAAATGGTATGGAACAAGGATCTTTACAGGCTGTATAGGTGGATATGCAGATGAAGTGACAAGTAGCTTTTAGTTAGAAATACTAAAAGAGTATCTTAAGAAGCCCAGTCAATGCTGGCTTGTGTTTCTGTCCTACTACTGCTTTGTTCCCCAGGCTCCTGGAAGGGATCAATAGCTCTAGCCCTGAATCCATTCCAAAAAGTTCAAGACAAATGTGCTTTCCTTTTATTCAAATAGCAAAACTGTATTGTATATTAAATCCTTTCATTCTTAAGGTTTGATGGGACGGGATTGTTCTCTCAACTAGTTCTGAAGCTAACTTTATGAACTAGCTTTAGGTGGTTTAGAATTTCGCATTATATTGCATGTTAAAAGCATTCCAACTGAATAACAAGTGCCGTGTGTATCAAGAACATTATGTAGATTTGTGGCTGACTCCTAGCTTGAGCGTTATCTGCATAAATATTGAGCTGTGGTCTATAAGAGCAAATAATTTTTTCATACCCTGCGCTTTAGCGAATACAGTTTGGCATGAATAGATTTGTATAATTCAGTCAAATGAGGAGCCAGTGGCTTCCGTTACTAACTGGGGTTTGTTTTTATCTTCACTGTGGTTTTCTGTACTTGCCAATAGTTGGTGGGCTTTCTGGGTGGAGGAGCAGGTCTGAGAGCTGGTGTAAAAAGACAGACTAAAGCCTTAATGCCGAAGCTGTCTTGAACAAGTTTTTGACAAATCATAAACTTGGGAAAATGTTTGTTGAAGGAAATAGTCACACACCGTAAGTATAAAGCAGGGGAAGTTACTGCTTTGGGTCCAGTTTTCCAAAAATTCAAGACCCTTATTCCATATTGCCATAGCTGATAATGAGAGCTTTACAGGAGAAAGCCTGGTAAAGTGATTACAGTGGAATAGCAACCATCTCTGCCTGAAGATAGCAGAAATATGTAGTGCTTTTAAGATTTGATCATGAATGGGTACTCGCAACAGGTGAAAATGGTTTTAGTCCTCTTTGAAGTATGGGCACTAGTTTCTCTAGTATATGTATGTCTATATATTCGTGTGCATGCGTGTCTATAGACATGTTGCTAGGACTGGGTAACACTGACTTTTGAGTTTTTAGGGTTTTTTTCAATCATTAATGAACAGTGAAAAACAGTATGTTCCAATTTGGAAATTGCATCTGGCTTAGTATGAGCCAAAGGAGTTCTTAATGATGAATTAACCAAAACTTGAATTGTCCTTTATTTAATAATAATAAAACCTATCATCCGACTGGGGTGTAGATCAGTGGTTTGTTGTTTGGGCTGGGAGTCCTAGAAGACCTGTTGTCTGTAGCTCGTCAGGGTGCAACTAAACCATATAATTACGGCATCACGCGCTTGGAGGAGGGATGTCTCCAGCTTTTCCATCCAGTGTCCATCATCAGTAGTTAGAGGGTTGTCTTTGCCTTTTAGGGGAAACTTTTTCTGTGCCCGCTATCCCACATCTCCTGTCGTGGAAACGTAGAAGGCAAAAGCAATGGGTTAAGGCAGCTTTTTGAACCAAGCTGGCTCCTGTTCTAATTAAATTAAGGGAGTGATGGCTAAGTATCTCCATCCTCTCCCCAAAACCAAAAGTATAGGGAAAGGACGTCTCTCACTTTCTGTACTAATGTCACTGCAGGGAAAGTTGGGGAGGGAGGGAGCTGAAATAGTGATACTGTTTAGATAGCTGCTTAATAGCTGCTTCCATGTTACTTTGTTGGCATATGCATGATCTCTAAAGAAAAAAATGATTTACTGACAGCACAAACATTTTATATGTTGTTGTTTGGAATATTTTATATTTCATCTGAAAATGAGCAATGCTTAAACGTATACTTGGCATCTTCAGGAAAGAAGAGTCATTAGTTTGTTACTGTGTATGTGCTTCATTTTCAGTCTCTATAGAATTGGTTGTGTCTCTTGCAGCTAGAGAGATGTAAAGGGAACAAAAGCACCACGCTGAGTAGCAAGGAGCAGGTTGATCTGGATAGCTTTTTGTCTCCAAGGAGAACAGCAAAGTGTTTTTTCAATGTGATTAAAAGCCATACAAACTCCCCAAAAAATTAATTTTAAGAGCAAGTAATCTAGACTTAAAATACCATCAATTGTTTTGGAAAAAAAGTCCAAGTAAAATTCTGCTGGTCAAAAAAAAAAAGTTGAATCAGCTGTTTGTTCACTGGAGTTTTTAGGAAGAGCCCTTTAGATTGGATTTCATGATGCTTAATCATTCTTTTAAAAATACAAAGGAAACACCAAAAGCTGTTCAGCTAAGCTTTAAAGAACTAATGGTTATAACTTAGATTCAAAAGTGATTTAGTTCCAGAGGTAAGTCGATAATCCTACCAGTCATGAGTTAATCTGTCATCAGACTAAGACTAGAAACAAATCTATTTAACTAAGAATAGTTAATACACCTGAGTGTGAGAGAGGATGAAGATCCTTCTCACAGTGATTACTTTATTTTGAGAAAATGTAATATTCATGACAGAATAAAAATAGCTACAGTTTTTTAAAGGTAGACTGAAAAAAATCTGCTCTTTTCTGAAACTTTTAAGGCTGATTTTATAGCCTGACTACCTGACCTGTGGTTTTGGATACCGTAGAAATGAGTGGGTCTGTGAAGAAGGAGGATGATTTGCCATTTATTATAAAATTAGATGGGTTTAGAAACAGCTTCTTGAGACACAGGATAGTGGCATCAAAATCAAATTCACTTCTCCCTCTTTCTATCTCCTCTTGTCCTGTTGTCTTGTCATCTCGAGACAAATTGATATGATGAATTCTTAACTTTTTAGTAGGATAATTTATTAAAACAACAGACTCTATAGAACTGGTGCTATAGATGCTACATAGATGCTATTAAGATTCAAGTTGATCTCAAATTCTTAAAGAAGAGTAACAATCTCATATTTTGCAAATCAGGCTCCTCGTTTCCTACCTTGTTCTGGCACGTTGATGTGTTGTGGTGAGGACAATGGCAGATATTACCTGTAATTTACAGAAAAGGATTTCAGCCAGAACAGGATTGATAATATGCAAATTAGGAGTAATTCCATGAGGAGGAAAAAACGTGTCTATGAACAAGTGAAATTATTTCCTGTGTACTGGCAGATAGAGGCTCAAAACTTGTGTGTGTGAGCAGGCAGGCTGGACATAGGGAAGGCTGAGCTTGAAAATACACTACTTAGTTGTTTTAATGCCTCTCTCCATCTCATTTTGCCCATCTAAGAGAAGAACTGTTAGCTATACAGATTTTTTTTTTTTCTATGCACAGAACAGGAACATTGGTTGAGCAGAGCAAGAGGATGTGTAACTCTCTCTAATTCTTTGTTGACGAGAAAACCAAGAAGACCTTGGGTCAGACCCAGCAGCCAAAGTGAAGGCCAGGTCAGATTATTGGCTTCTTTTTCGACCTGAGGAAGCGGCAGCAGCCTCCTGTACAGGGATGTGGACGTGTTTACAGATGCTCTACAAATAAGTACTGATGACTATTGAACATCTGGGACTGTTGTCTGGTTTTTATTTGTTGGACAAATGAAAAAACTGAAATCCTTTTTGCCTTCAGATAAATTGGGCACTATGATTTACTTCATTTCTAAGTTAACTGCATTTCTTTAAAATCTATACAAAAATTTCTAGCTGCTGTTCTGCTTCACTTGCTTAGGATTTTAAAAGACTAGTGGTAGCTGACTGGCAAGTGAAGGAAAAGAAAAAGATGGAGAGATGTGGGGTTTTTTTTTTTTTGGTCTTGTTTTAATATCTGCATCTCAAACATACAGAAGGAACCTTTCATGTTTAAAGCAGAGCAAAATGTGACTGTGTGACTGTGGAATACTGTACTTATATTTAATACTATTTGCCTATTCATTACGACTGTGAAGATAATAAGCCACAGCCTGCTGGGGTTGTCTTGTTCTTTATTGCTTCAGTAGATGGCACTGACATGTTCATTTGACTGATTGCTTTGTATGTTGTATCAGCTGTGATGTTGTCTTAGATTAGTTAATAGTCTGTCTAAGATCTTGCCAAGATGAATATGAATTGAAATGGGGGAGGAAGAACAGCAGAGAACTACCCATAACTTACCAGGTATTCATTCTCTGGTATAATCTGTCTTTGTGTCTATCACAAAGCGATTCTCGAAGAGACTGTTAGTCTGCTTCTGAATACCAGGGCTGTTAAATTGATCTTTGCTGCAGCCATCAGTTTTGTGTGTGTGAGCAATACCAAGACAATTCTCTGATGTGCTGTAGCTATAACACTTTATCTCATACCTGTGAAATGAAGGGGTTTTGCGTTGGGGCTTTTTATTATTAAAATTATATACATTTTACTACTACAATAAGAAGCGGTTATCAGTTTTTTGCAAATGATTAGGGATTGGAGCAAGATATTTTCCCAGTATAGGTCAAAATGTAACCGATTCTGACTTTAAGATCTTTGCTAGTAGAAGAAAGTTATGTTTAATTTTTCTGATGTTATCATGAAGACGGATGGAAATTATCTAGGATTTTTCTTATAAAAGGTTGAGTCTGTGATTTTGAGTTATTTTTAATATATAATGTCTGAACTATTACCGTTAACTTCAACTCTGAATGTATTCTTTACACAATAGATGGTGACAAATGTGATATGCATTGAATTTGAAAAATAATATTTAAAAAGCATGGTTGAAAAGAAGTAATGCTTTCTGCATTCTAAAAGAAAGACATAGGTGTTCGATTGAATTATAGTTGGCCATGATTAAAAAACATAATACGGTAGGTAAAGTGGGGACATGAAAGAATGGCTGTTTATCCCCTCTATTCCTTCTTCATTAGGCCATGTTGAAATATAACATGGCTTGTTTTGTTTAACTTGTACCTTGTTAATTATTCTTAAACTGCCTTGTTCACTTGTGTACAGGTCCTGACCCGTGAATACGTAAGCACGTACTCTACCCGTTTGAGCAGTCTCACTAAACTTGAATACTTGCTGAATTGGGCAGTGGTAAGTGTGAAAGGAAGCAAAAAAACATCAGCTTCGTTATGAATCCTGAAAGTTTGGGGATGGTGGGAAAGTAAAAGCTGTCGTCTAGTTTTCAATACAATGAAAACTTATATAGTTCTGTCAATTTGGAGTCAGTACAACTGATGTTACATCACCGAAAGCTCTGTTATTATCTGCTCTGGCAGTGAGTTTTTTCCAGGAGTGATGTTCAAGGGGCAAACATGTAGAAAACTTTAAAATGCTATGGCATATCACTCTCTGATGGTGTCACAATTATGGAAATAGAATTCATTGTGAATTCATGGATTCTATAAAGCTGGTTGCTTGACTTATAAAGTAAAATTGCTATTTTATATTGGGCAGTTAACATCTACTTTCAGACTGTTCTAATGTAAAACATTTTTTCATGTTTGATTCTGATAATTCAGATTGTAGATATTTGCTATAATTGCTTCAGCCTTATACAGATGTAAGTACCAGTGGAATTACTGCATTGACCCTTTCCCTTTTTGACTCTTTCACCGGATTAGAGGAGATATTGTGAATAGTTTTAATGTGAAGTGAGAACCTCTTTTATGCAGTGTATCCATATCATATTTCCCTGCTTATTAACACTTCAGAAAGCCAAACCAAAAATAAAGCCTCGGAAGCCTACGAAAAGAAAGAGAGGCAGATTTTATATGTTGAAATAAATGAAGAATCATTAACTTCCAGAAGGCCACGAACTAAGAAGTATGTGGCATTTTAATGATGCTTTTTAACATCTGGGGCCGTTATATAGTCAGTTCCCACATTTTCAGGGGACTCTAGGACATATATCTTTTGGTTTTGTTTTATGGTGACCCTAAAGAATAAAAAATGTTGGTTTATTGCACACTGAGAAGGTGTTCTTGAAGCTACGTTCAAAATGCGGTCTTACCGTTGAAAATACAGGTAGCTCAGGGCATTAACTGAGGTTTTAGTTGCTTGTTTTTCTTCATCTCTTGAACTTCAAGAAGAAACTGTGTTTGGCTTAATTAGTGTCTTCATATTTCATCTTTGAAATATTTTAAATACTTTCAAACTTAAACTTGTATGGATAGAGAATCTGCATAGCAGTGTAAATTGGCTAGTTCTTAAGGAGGGCTATACTAGAAAAGCACATGAACTAAAGAAATTCACTTATGTTTGCCGTTTTGTGATTATTTTCAAACCATAAACTGCGAGATAAGTTCCTATTGGTTACTAAATTCAGTCTCTAGTTTAGCAGAAGCTTCATCAGGAAAGAATGTAGATAGAAGACACATGTACGTTTGAAACTATTTGTTGGCCTGTATGAAGTATGAATTATTGCTCTTTGAGGACGCAGGCATTGTGAAGCCTTTTGTTTGTTTTAGTCATAAATTTATTCTAATAAAAAGAGTTGGGTGTTTTTTCTAAACTTCTTAGAGTTTGTCAGCAGCTTTCAGGTGAAGACCCAGTATATATCTGCAAAATGGTTGTTTTAGCCAGTATACCTAAACCAGTTCACAAAGTATAGTGAGCTATGACAGCACAAAAAGGCAGGATAAGGTAATTATATGTATTCCAAGGCATTTACTACCTTTAGGAACGGGGACTGGGGAACTTCCTCCCCCTCCCTCCCCCCCCCCCCCTTTTCAGACTTGATCAACGTAGACATGTTAACAGAACGCTTCTGTTTACGTCAGGCCTTAGATATCAGTAGACTGGTCACATTTAAAACAGTCTAGGAGGTGTTAAGATTCTTTTTTTTTTTTTTTAAGAACTCAAAAATCTAGAGTCTTAGGAAACAGCAAGTTTTTTTTTATCCTTGCTCCTCTTTTGAGGGAGCTCTGGACACTGGATGGTATTCAGCCTTAACAATTTGTCTGATTGATTTAGTGGTTACGTTGTTACCAGACAGTAACTATAAATGTTATATATATTTCACAGGTGCACTCGGTGAGTTGAAGTTGGAGTAAAATGGGCACAGAATGGGTGGATTCTGATGTTCTTTTCAGTTACCTGGTATTTGATAGGTTTTATGTCCCATGCATTGTGTTATTAGGATCTTACTCTCTCTGTTCTGGAGGGTTCAGGACAAAACGGAGTCAGCCAATGTAAAATGTGAAGCAAATGCATATCCTTATTGCCAGTTATTCCCCTAAAATTATGTGACCTTCACAGGGAGGATGACCAGTTCTTGTGACTGGGTTGGCAGTGTGGACAAATTTGGACCCACTGGAGCCTTGTTCTTTTTGTTGTGGAGTGTGAAGTGTTTGAAGTTAACTGTATTCATTAAATTGTACTGTCTGTGCTTTTCATTTGTATTGAAAAATCAGATTATATACCAATATCCATCAACTTTAGCTTCCCCAAGATGATCCACAGAAGTGGCTAAGTCCTGCAGAACTAGCATTTACTTCCACCTAGGATATTAGTGCAGTAAGTAGGAGTTTTTCAGTCCCCATACCTCCAAGTGGGCTTTGTTTGCAATGACTAAATATTTCTTTGAAAATCGATTCCCAAAATGCTGGGTTTAAGCCTAGAGCAAATTTTTACAGTGCAGTATGAACTCTCGGAAACAGTTTAACGTTGACATAGTTATAATTAACTTAAAGGAGTTAATAAAATAGAACTCATTGTGTCATCACTCTGCTCAGGTGATGTGGTTGTGATCCTTGTTCGTTTGTGTAGCCCTTCCTTTTCTCTAGCAGAAAAGCAATTACACAAGCGTTTCCATTTGAGAAGCTGTGCTTACCACTGGCTTTGAGAACCAAATACAAAGTATGACTTTTACTCTGACTAACCGTGGAAGTCTTTTGCTAGCAGAGGAACGTGAATGCTGTGAGTGGGAATTTTTTTTCCTTCCCTCTTACGTGTATTTAGCTAGCTGATCATCCTGTTTGTTGTACCACCACGGAGTAGTTCGATATCTTGTCTAACCCATTCAGTTGTCATCCATTGCCATCCTAAATTATTTGTTAATTATACACTTAAAATCAAGGTGAGCAGAATAAAAGATGAAGTGCAAATCGTACTGCTCACACCATAACGTTCAAAGTAAATATACGCGACTACAACAGAAGGTGATTTGTATGTTAAAAATGCCAAAATGGAAAGCGCATGCACAAACCAAGGTCTGAAGCAAAAGAACTCTAAAGAAAACAGTCTAGATCAATTTCTGCAGTGAAGTGACTACTGTCACCCAGAAGAGCCTGGCCTTTTCAGGCCGCACTTCTTCGCTATTTTCCTGTGAATGAGGTGACAGAACTATGCAGTCCGTTCAGTAGAGTTAAAACAGAAAGTGTCCTTGCTCCTTTTCCCCAAGAGAGGAAGTATGTACTGCTCCCTTGAGTTTTGTGGAGGACAGTGACGAAAGTTATCCTCATGCTGTATTTGGTTTCTTTGGGCGTGTGAATAAACTATAATTGAGATTTTCACAGGTAAACCAATTGTGAATGCATGTTACGCTGATCAGCTCAGATTACATGTTTTCATTAGAAATCTGTTTGAATAATTGGTTCATCACAAATGGGTAGGCTAAAACAATCAGAGGAACAATGTGTTTGAGTAGATGCACGCGCTTCTTAAATCTGCTTTCTCTCTGATATCCCCTTATTGGCGTTTTTTGCTATTTGCAGCAGACTAGAAGTTCTACTATAAAACTCAGGTTGCATGTAGAAAACTGTTTTGTTTCGGGGGGAAAGAGGTAGGGCATGTTTGTTTTTTGGCATCCAAGATTTTTAAATCTATTTAATTAAATGTAGTATGTTTGTGTAGGATATGTAGTTCTGATGGAAACCAAGAATATCTAAAGAAATATTTCTCCTTTGGTTTTAAAATACTCTGGGGAAAATCCAAAAAAAGAAAAAAGGCAAACGTAAGTGTTATATTTAGTGCGATGCCAATTCCCAATGGACAAGTGAAATGCTTTTGCCGCTCCCAGGAGAAGAATGAATGAATGAAAGGTTCATTCAGTCTGAGATTCCCACCTATCTTTAAAGATGATTTCCAGATTGCAGCTAAAGGATTTTGTGTCAACATCCCTGACCCTTGTTTGTTCTGGAACCCACCCTTGGACAAAGGAAAGATAAATCTAGTGTCCAAGGCTAAAAATCTAGTACCTTTCCTGATCCCTAAACTTTTATTTTCATACCATGCACGTTTGTTTAGAAAAAGAAAGTAGCTAATGTCAAGTTCTGTGCAGATATCTTTAATCAGTTTCCAAATGTGTAACAACAGTACAAAGGAACATAATATAGTAGTGTGTTTTATTTTAAAACTCTTTTAGGGTCAAGAGCCAAATTTTCTGCTATATTTGGTTCTTGGAGTTGTTGTAGAATTGTGCCACAAGTGTTTTTCAGGATTATGAGTCGTGCAATTAAGGAAAGTAGGATTTGACTGTGTGTGTAATTACTACGAATGATTTGCAAGGTGGGAATTTTTCAAATTATCTACAGAACATTACTGGTAGTCCGTGAAGAGTTGGCTAAACTAGTATTCATGCTTTTCCTTTTATTTCCTATCATTTTATTTCTGTTTTAACACGTCTGCTGTCGTATTGGCATGCAACTCAACCCTTTTTCTGGTATTTGTTCTCCATGCAGAGCAATTAAGTTATTCCTTCTCTCCTTTCCTTCCCCCTGACCCTTATCTGGGGAAGAAGTAGTCAAGCAGGTGGGAGAAGACAACTATGTAAATATGTCTTAAAATTATATCTATCTAGATGGAAAAAAAACTGTGAATCCAAGAAGTAAACCTAAATGTAATTGCATCTATATATAGTAACTGCAAAGAGAAGAGTTATTTTTGGTTGTTTCTAAGTCCTTAAAACATAAGGTGTTAATTCTCCACTATTAAACTCTCTGGCTGCATGTGGCTTATCTTAAACTGTCACAACAACATGAATTTGTGTTCAGTTGTTCCAATATCCTAAATATCTCCAGCTCTGTAATCTCTACAAGGCGTTTCTCCCTTGTGCAACTGTTTACAGCTTCTGACTCATATTTGTGTATTCCTTTAATCATGGCTTTATAATTTCTCCTGTTAGTGTGTTGGTTTTATTCTTTCTAGTAGGTCATGGCCAACTATTTGTTTACCTACGTAAAACAGAGGAACAAATTTTGTTCTCTAATTGTGTGCATGTGTCTCTCACTGACTTATTTAGTAATCTGCCTGCGTGTGAAGGCAGGGCTGAACCTGCAGATGTGCCAGCTGCCTTTAGTGCATGCGTTACACAATGCTAGAGTGCCGATTTTAATATCTGTCATGGAAGGGGTCAAAAATAAGTGAGTAACTAACATGCATCTTTAGTGTGAAGAAGAGATTCTTAAAAGCAGTGCATGGCTGAAGCCCAGATTGAACCCTCGGCAGATGCATGGAAACCCAGCCCGCAAAACGTTGTAGTGAGCGATGCAGATGCTTGGATGGCTTGCATGTGTATGCAGGCTGCTATTCCTTCTTAGTTGTGACATTAAAACCACACTGATGAAAAAAGTAAGAGATCTTATCTGAGGACAGCTTCAGGAGGAGGAAGTTGCAAAGATGTATAATTTAAGTGATTTGAATTAAATAAACACTGTTTATTTCTAACTTGCAGAGCAGCTTAATGTATTTTATATTTGTTCATAGGGCTTAGATTTGTAAGGGAAGTATCCATAGATACCTAAAGAGGAACAGGTGGGGAATATTACATGCAGAATAAAAAAGATGCTTTTGTACTGAGAATAGCTGAGTTGAGGTGTAACAAAGCTGCTTTGTTAACTGACCAGAGTTGTTTAAATGATTTTCCTTTTTTTAAACAGGAAATCTTGCTGGCCCACACAGGAAAAGCAAAAGCAGTAGGCAAAAAGCTTATAATTTATATACTGACAGCCTACTTCATTGTTAAACATGATTCTTTAATGCACTGTATCTGCTGTGTGATTTATTTCCTTGCAGCCTGTTACCCAGCTGAAACTAGCAACATATCAGCATTGTTTCTTTTTTTTCTCCTTTTTTTTTCCTTGGAAATTGAGGATAAATTCAGTGCTTTTTGAAAATATTGTGTCCTGAGACCTTGCAGAGCTGGTGAGTGACTGCACTTGGCAGCTGTTGGATCAATATCTAGAAAATGGTTATTTATAAGGCCCATTTTTTGTTATATGGCACCAATCTTGGATACACTGGTGAGACTCAAGGGTTAAATTCCCAACACTGTCGCATATGGCAGTGAGCAGAATCACAGATGTTGATGATACAACATAATTAGTATTCTTTTATGTAAATGAAGGCTGTCAATGTTACCACAGCGTCTATACTCTTTCAAGCTGGAATCTATGCCACTTGGTCTCACCAAGACTAGACAGGATTATTCCACAGTTTTACATCGAGACTTGAGCAGAAAAATAAAGAAGGGGGAGAAAAAGGTCAGAGAGGAAGATGGGAGAAAGGTAGGGAGGAATGTTTCCAACTTGGAAGAAGGAGACCCGAGCAGTCCTTTGTTTATTTGGGGATTTCCAAAAGTGCCTGTCCAGGTCCTAGGATTTGCGAATGAATGAATGTAGTCCGAATGAGAGGTGTAGCAAATTTTAGAACTGTTTCAAATAAACAACAAAGATAATTATTTAGACACTGCAGAATCACAATATTGAGCTCAATTCTGAAGAGGCCACTTCTCCTGCTTTAATCTAAAAGAGAGTAGAGTTGAAGAATAGAAAAGGTTTATTTGTTTGTTTGTTTTCTGGCTTAACAAGTTTCATCTTTAGCAGCAGTGTCACTAGGAAAAAAGTAATTAAAGTAAATTTGCATAATTTTAGGACAACTAAAAATATGTTTCTAGCTTGGTCAGCTATGTTTTCTGTATATGTTTATAGTCAACTGTTCAATGCTTATATTAAAGCTTTGGGAAAGCATACTACTTCTTTAGTTTTGTTAAACTCTGCTCCTCATAAAGTGATTTTTTTTCGTCTTGAACGAAGCGTTCTGTGTGCCAGGTCTGACACTATCTGTGGCATCTGTATCCACTTTGTGCATATTACTGCTGTCCCTCCTATCACTACTTTGTATTATATTGAAGTACTGTAGTCATAGATGTACAAGCAAGTTAATTTAGTCTTTTCTTGGATCATTACAACAGATACATTTTTGCAGTCTTTTTCTGCCCTTGGCAAAATGCAGGTTTTTCCTATTTCTTTTCTCTGTAGTTCTTATTTTGTTGCAGTTCACACTTGACAACTATTCATTACTTCACTTTTATTGTTTGAAAAATCATCTAAAAATGGAGTTTAATTCAGGACAGATTGTTTTTTTTTCCGTCTCCTCCCCCTTCTCTCACCAAGTTATCAAAGCAGCCAAAACTGAAGTGATCACAGGAGGTGCACGTTTTTGCTCAGTTTTTTTTTCTTTTTTGCTCAGATTTTTTTCCCTGCCATATGCTGGGTCATCCACTACAAAAGACTTGTGATGAAGAGGCTACATGTGATCAGCAGATTTATGGATTATCAGAGAATGAAAGCAGGAAGATGAAGTTCTGGAGTGCCTCTTCCATTTGACATTTCTTTACATCCAAGTTTTGGGGTTCTTAGGTGCAGTCATGTTTTGGCTTCCAGCTAATTTTGTTCTCTGTAATACATGTGTTCTCTGCAGTAACTCTTACATTGTGGGGATTAATCGTGTTCAAAAGCAACCATAGTAGGTTTCTTTGTTTATGTGCATCACGAGGATATTTTCTCTCTAGGGCTTTGAAGCTGTGCTGCCTTACGATGAAGATTTAAGTAGCAATTAAATTCTCGAAGAACCTCCAAAGCTCCTTTGGCTGAAATGGGGATGTTCCAGGCCCTAGACCTTACACTGCGAAGGAAAGAATGTTTACGCATGACTCAGTGAGTAGTGCGTGTGAGTGAACAAATCTGGGTGCTATTTCTGTGCCCTCAGCTTTTTCAGTTGTATCAGAAAACTGGAGGGCCTGTACAAAAGAAACCACATTGCTGGTATGAGGAATGTTGTTTTAGTTGTGCTCTTTGTACAACTGAATATCATTTATAAAACATATGGACGTTGGATGCAAAGTGAAAGCTTTTTGCTCTTTAGAATTCTAGTGTCCCTGCTTTGATTTCTCTTCAGTCACAGTATAAAAATTCAGTAAATCAATTTTATTTCATGTTTATGTAGTGTGTTCATGCAAACAGGTACACCTTTTGCATGAATACGGACATTGCATTAGGTTTACTATCACATGGCATTATTAATTTCTTTTTTTTGTTGTTTTTTTTTTAACATTAAAATGTTTGGGAGAGTGTGGGAAACTGGAGAGTTCTAGAGTAGAACATAGAGCCTGTGGGCTTGCAGATTGCATATAGACTAGTTCTGATTATGGCAATTATCTGATATTCTTGTGGCTTCTATGAAAAGTTGGTAGCCTCAGTCTAGTTCCTGATGACATGCATTCCAATTCCAAATTCATGTTGCATGTAAGAATTTCAGGAGGGTAGCTGAAGATCACATGGGTGTGTGGACTGAATTAATCTTTTCTCTGTGAAGCAAGTCATCCAGGTGGGGTAAGGCTCACTGGCAGCGGTCTGGGCCCTCCTTAGGAGGCAAATAGACAGTTTTAGTCTGCAGAGCTTGTCAATCTAATATCTTTCAATGGTACTAAAAACCGCTTTCTAAAAAAAAATTGTGCACGCAAATAATATAGTCAGTGGAAGAAGAACTACAGTTGGAATTTGCAAGAGGTGACATCTGTATCTTTATAGATCTTTACATCTGGCACAAAAGAGATCATTTAAAATATGTGCAATGACTCTTGGATCTTTTTTTTTTTTTTTCCCCCTCCCCCTCATCTTTCTCCTCTCTTACCTTTCAAGGTCAAAGCAGCAAAGACTTCTGTAAGACATGGATAGATGCAAACATGTTGGGCGGCTACGACTCGCCCAGGACCATTCTATCCTGAACCCCCAGAAGTGGCGCTGCGTGGACTGCCAGACGACAGAATCTATCTGGGCTTGTCTGAAATGCTCCCACGTAGCCTGCGGGAGGTACATTGAGGAACATGCACTTAAACACTTTGAAGAAACCAGACATCCGTTGGCAATGGAAGTTAATGATCTTTACGTCTTTTGTTACCTTTGTGAAGATTATGTCTTGAATGATAACCCGGAGGGTGATCTGAAATTGCTAAGAAGTTCTCTGTCAGCAATTAGGAGTCAAAAATATGATCCATCAACAAGAAGTGGTAGGACATTGCGATCAATGGCTTTGGGAGAGGACGTGTGCAGCCATCAAAGGGCCCCTCAGGGACAACCTCAGATGCTTACGGCTCTCTGGCACAGGCGCCAGTCTTTGCTCGCAAAAGCACTGCGGACCTGGTTTGATAAGAGCTCCAGAGGCCAGCTAAAATTAGAACAAAAAAAACAAATGGAAGAGTTGGAGAAAAAAAAGGAAGCGGCTAGGCAGCGGCGGCAGGAGATGAAGAGACAACTTCTGGAGGAACTAGCAAACACCCCTCCAAGGAAGAGCGCAAGGTTGCTGTCTCATGTGCACAGAGAGAACTTGATTCCAAGGAAATTCAGAGAGGTGACAACCACTTCCCCTACCTCAAGGCAGATGCAGAGCAGCAGATTCAAACAATTTTATTCCATCCGGCGTAAGCCTCTGATGACTCCTGGGGTGACAGGTCTAAGGAACCTGGGAAACACATGTTATATGAATTCTATTCTGCAAGTGCTAAGTCACCTCCAGAAATTTAGAGAATGTTTTCTGACACTTGATCTCTGTGAAACAGAGGAACTCTTAGCCAAAACTGTGAATGGGAAGTCTAGGATGCCTGGCAAATTGGCAAATGGATCTGCTGCTAATGAGTCAGGGAAGACTGACAAAGTAGGATCACATGGCACGCAGAGCTTGCCAGCTGGCTTAAATGGTAGCTCCTCAATAAGCAGGAGTTTAGAACTGATACAACCCAAGGAACCAAGTTCAAAGCACATCTCCCTCTGCCATGAATTGCACACCCTCTTCAGAGTGATGTGGTCTGGCAAGTGGGCGCTCGTGTCCCCGTTTGCCATGCTGCACTCTGTGTGGAGTCTGATCCCAGCATTTCGAGGTTATGATCAGCAGGACGCTCAGGAATTCCTATGTGAGTTGTTGGACAAAGTGCAGCAGGAGCTGGAGTCGGAAGGAACAAAACGTAGGATCCTCATCCCTTTCTCGCAAAGGAAGCTCACCAAGCAGGTTCTGAAGGTGGTGAATACCATTTTTCACGGGCAGCTACTCAGTCAGGTATGCACCTATTTTTGCACAGAAATCAATTGGTGCTCTTCGCACCAAGGAGCAAAGGCTGTTTCTTGAGGAACCACACGAAAAGAATTTTTTAGGAGTACCTCCTGCAAATGAAATCGGCTAGATTGCTGTGGGGGTTGTCGGCGTTTTTAGTACTTGTCACATGTCTAATGGCATCGTAACTTTAGTTGACGTTTGCCACTGCACGATGAAGTCTGCGCCAGTAAAGAACTTCTAGGCCCTTAGCTTTAGGTTTTTACGGGGTTTATAAAATGTCTTTGTAAACTATTATGTCTTTTTTCTCGTTTTGTTTCCATGGCTAGAAAGAATATGATGAAGGACAGAGAAGGCAGTCATCTTGTGCTATAAAGAATAAGCTGTCTATGAATTTTTTTTTTCCCCTCAGGCATTTGAAAGCCGTCTTGAGATGTTGAACATGTTTAACATATGTTTCTGCAGGGGTTGAAAGTGCCAGCCCTGGCACACTGTTTGGTCCCTTAGTTTTGTGCTGTTCCATTATCTGAAACATATTTTTCCCCAAAAGTCTGATCCTGAGAGCACAGTCTGTCTCTGAAGACCCTCAGCTGCTTTTGCTTTCCTAGAGAAACGAACGTGTTCATAACTTGAGATGCTTGAGGGTTTGCCAGATCAAACCACAGGGGTATAATGTGTGCATTCTCATTATTATTTATATCATCTTTCTCAGTGCTGGTCTTGCCAAGCTTAACGTTCATAAGAACTGAAGTGCATTTTAAAGATTACAAAGCCTATTTTTCAAGTTAAAGCTTTTGGGTTTTCAGGGAAGGAATGGCTAAAGTCATGGTTCTCTTGAATCATCTCTACACTGCGTTAACTTCTTGTGCACTTCTTAACTAAATGTTCTTTGTTCAGTTGTGTCTCTTGGCTCTGGAAGATGATATGCTGTGGCTAAGGTTAGTGTTTTAGATTCAGTGGTAGATGTCAGTTAACAGCTCAAAGACGTTTGTGAATCAATGTAATTTATCCACTGCTGTGATATAGTATAAATAACTTGCTTTTGTTTTTTTGTTACCTCTTTATGCTCTCACCTGCTGCCTCTGAGTTTAAATAAAACTTTTATACTGTCATATATTAGTACTTTGGGATGACATGAGAAAGCAAGTGCATTTCAAATTTCTCCTTTTATGCGCCATTCACGAATAATATTATACAGTTAGCAGATGAAAGAGTTAAGGACCTCTAGCTAGCGCTTTGAAATATGCAAGCAAAGTAGAGAAACTAAGGAAGGAGGATCGCATGATAAATGCTAATGTGTATTCTTTGTATTAGAAAACTGTTCCAAAATGTGTGTTAGCCAGCGGAGGTAACGTTACGCCTGTAATGGTCTTCATCTGAAGAAGTGAGTACCATAAAGGTGAATATTGTCTCCATTTGGTGGAGAACTGAGATGGAAGTTTAAATTATTTGCTTGAGATTTACGGTCTGAAAGCTAAGTCTATAAGTAGTGTTTCTCTTGACTGCCAGACCATTTTTATGTCCATGAAACTGCACTGCCTTTTGGGCATGAAATTGCTATTTGGATGTGAATGTAAATGTCTGTCTGGAGGTACACCTGTACATAACTTCATTTATGTATAAACATTTCATTCCCAGGTCACCTGTATAACATGCAACTACAAATCCAACACCGTTGAGCCCTTTTGGGATCTTTCCCTGGAATTTCCCGAGCGTTATCACTCTGTTGAGAAAGGGATTGTCCCTGTTAACCAGGCAGAGTGCATGCTGACAGAAATGTTGGCCAAGTTCACAGAAACTGAAGCTCTGGAAGGGAGGATATATGCATGCGACCAATGCAACAGTAAGTCAGATACTGCTGCTATCTTTGCAGGTTAGAAGCACAGTCTGTTTTTCTGAATGAGAGGCTTCCAATGTGCCTTTTGTGTGTCTGAAAACTGGTATTGTGACGTATGTGTCTATGAAAACTATGTTCTTCCTCACTGTTCATGCTGTTTTTTTTTCTTCCTGTTGATAGCGTGTGCTCCTTTGGGCACCAGTTTGGAACTATGTCGTTCTTCTATCATTTCTGCCATTCAGCAGCATAATTTTCTAAGGATTTAATATGAGCCTGTTTACAACTGCTCTCTCTGCTTGTGTTTTTGGGGGGAGAGGCAACTGCAATAAGAATTTGGGCAGAGGGGTGTTGGATTTAGAGACAAGAGAAGGAACCTTATCCTTTATGCTTTGCTCATCTCTGCCGCATGGCAGGGAAGCTACTGAACTTTTCGTATGATAAGAAGAGGGCAGGTTTCTGGGCAGTTTTCTCAAACTCTTTGTGCGTGTTTAACATCTGTATGCTCTATGGTGCCTATTCTTGATTGAATCCTTTAGCCAGAAGCCACAAAGGCAAAGTTCTCAAGGTCTGCTGGCGGATTAGAGTTTCCATCTTTCTTTAGGCATTTTGTCAGAAAGCAATGAACTGACGTTATTCTGGAAGTCTCACGTTAACGTATTACCTTTTATATGAATACGTGCTTTTTGCTATGCTCAGCTAGAAGATGACTTCTACTTTCCTGTAGCAGGTCTAATTATAAATAAGATCATTATATTTCTGAAAATAATTTTAGCCTTCTGTATAATCGTGCAGCTAAGTTACTCACGTAAACTGAATTTGAAATTGTGTCACGCAAGTATTTGTGGCAAATGTTTGTCCGTTTGGGAGGAAAACGCCAATGATTTGACTTATGTTGCCACCAATGCAGCAGAAATAGCGAATATTTGTAAAGCTGTGTTTATCAACTTGCAATGAATCCATTACTACACATCTTCCCAAAATGCTAGGGAATAAAGGTTAACTTGTGGAAGTTCTTGAAGGAAAACCAAATGTGGTTTTATTCACAGATGACGTTCACAAAGTATCAATATGAGTCAGCGCAGCTTTCATCTTAACTCTGTTTTCTGTGGTTCTTGGTGAAAGCCCAAAGTTTAACGCTTACTTCAGAGTTAAACAGCTAAGGAAACATTAACCAGCTGAAAAATGTTATGGAAAGGCAACCAGCCTGCTTGTAGGTGCCAAAAACTATTGGGGCACTGCTTGTCAGACATGACAGAAGAGGAGCAACCCATCTGTTCCGAACTGGTACAGTAAGGTGCAGAAATCTAATTAACAGGTACATTTCTTATTGGAAGCTCTGAAAACCACCTGTCTTCCTCCTGGTACAGTCGTGTGCTCACTGTCTCGGGAGAAGTAATAAGCTTTCACTGGGAAGAGGAACCTTTTTTCCTCTTTTCCAGTTTCTGCTTAGTAGTTCCTTTTTTCACTTGGGCAGGCAGAACTCCTTCTACAGTTGGAACCTTGCTGGAAGCATTCTCCTCTGACTTGTATTAATATTCTTGAGCTAGTGAAGCTCGCTAGTACGAGCTTTATTGTAGTGGTATAATAAATGGATCAAGGTGGTCTTTTAAAGCAATATGATGTCAAATAGCATTATTGATGTGCTGGTAGTTCACCTGTTGTAACTGCTACAAGTCTTTGGCCCTAGCGCTCTCTTATTAATTCTGTTGTATATCTCAGAGCGAAAATGTCAGTAGGAGCAGCTTGAAGCTGATAACTGATTGTGTGTTCATGGGCATTACAAAAATGAAAAAGTTTGAATATTTTTAAGCAAGTTGTTCTTGATCCAATAAATTCCTCCTCTGAAGGAATGCATAAGCAATGTTTACTTGTGTCTCCATCCTATGAGTGCATCTTACGGTGAGCTGGACTATTGCTACTGGAAGAATAAAAGAGTACATAATGGGCTTTTTTCCCCTTCTGCAAATTATCTACAACCTAACGTTCTCCAACTTGATTTTTTTTTTTCTTTCGGTAGGCAAGCGGCGAAAGTCTTCTCCTAAACCTCTTGTTCTGAGTGAAGCTAAAAAGCAGTTAATGATCTACAGACTACCTCAGGTCCTCCGACTGCACCTTAAACGATTCAGGTGAGTGGGATGCCTTGCACTGTGTCTAGCAGTTGTATTACTGCTGTTTTTTTGGAAAGAACTGATTAGTGTGGGCCAATAATTTCTTTCACTCTCTGGGAGGTGCACGTGTATAAACATTTTGCCCAAACCGGATGTGTTGATACCTTCTCAGAGTAGAACTTAAAATCAGCAGCTTGTCCTTAGTGTATTTTCTAGTATACACACAATGTAACTAGTTATAAAGATAAATGCCGATTCCCTTGAATCGTACTTAATAATTTCTGTCTAGGTTTGCAGATAACTTGAAACAGTGGCTATGAGAAGGATAAACCCATCTGTTGAGCGAACAGGTTGTTAAAGTTGGAACTAACTCTGTGATAGTTTCAATAACCAATATTATGCATTTTCGTATTGAATAAAATGTAGCAGAAGTTGTAAATATTATGAAAAGCTTCTAAAATGGTTAGGTGCAAACAGTTGTGAGATGTGTGTGTGGGGGGGGTTATGGCTATATGATTGAGTATTTTAAACAATGTTTGACTGTCACAATAGATGTTTGACTTTCTTTGTGTTTGGCCATTATAAATCTCAAGAATATCCTAACTACTATAGCAAATATATGAGGGCACCAGTAACAGTATCTGTTTTATGCAAAATATAACTGAAGTTGGTGGTAGAGTGAAAGTAGAAGGAAAAATTTATGTAGTGCCTGCTTGACCCTAGCAATGAAAGCTCTTCAAAGTTGCTTAGCAGTGGCTAGTTTTCTGTGCATCTTCCATTCCTGCACTTCTGCAGCCCTTTATCACCGTCAAAAAGAGGGATCCTGAGTCTTTGATTCCTGCACTTGTATTTGCAGGTGGTCTGAACGTAATCACCGTGAGAAGATTGGGGTCCATGTCCTCTTTGACCAGGTATTAAACATGGAACCTTACTGCTGCAGGGACTCTCTCTCCTCTCTTGACAAAGAGACCTTTGTCTATGACCTCTCCGCTGTGGTGATGCATCATGGGAAAGGGTTTGGCTCAGGACACTACACAGCGTATTGCTACAACACAGAGGGAGGTGCGTGTGCCTTATTATGGGGGAAACAAGTTGAAGAAGCTCGTATTTTGTTCCGTAGACATAGTGCACCGTAAAGCTTTACGATCAAAATTGTTTGGAATCAAGTTTCCTGACATTCAGTAGTTGGTTTCCCAGAATGTATTGCTAGTAGCATGTTTTCTTTTTTTGCACAAAGACCACAGATTGCTGCTCTTTGCTTTGTAGCCCTTCGAGATGCCTTTTATTGCTTGCTGTTAACAGCATGAATGCTTCATTTTCTGATGCTATGTAACTCTGTGGAGCTGCTCCAGCTGGGTGTCTCTTCTCAGTATCTTTGGGATGATGAGATAAACAGAAAGTGTTTTGAAACTGGACAGGGACTATTTATGAATAACATCCGCATGGTTTTTGTGAATTTCCAGCAGTCTCTTTCTGCAGCTGAATTAGTATTGATTCTGCCTTCTGACTTACAGAGAAAGAGGTACAAATTGGCTATCTCCAGGGAATTTTTCTTAAGTGAAATTTTTGTGCCATCACATACAATTTGTTGAACTATGATTTGATATTTCTAAACTGTGTTAACAGCACAGAAATGGTATAAATGTTTTCCTTATTAGAAACTCCTTTCCAAAGTATCTGTAGGGAGAAGGTAAAGATGCCTTTTCTCCTGCATATCCCTTTTTCTCTGTGGATGTCTCCTATGAACAGTTCCAAAATACAGTCAGAGGGAATGATGCCTCCCTTACTGATGTCCTCTTTCTCACTTTGATTCCTAGGTTTTTGGGTCCACTGCAATGACTCCAAACTGAATGTATGTAGTGTGGAGGAGGTGTGCAAAACCCAGGCCTACATTCTTTTTTACACTCAAAGAACAGTGCAGGGCAAAGCAGGAATCTCAGAAAAACAACTCCAAGCTCAGGTGCCGTCCAAAAACAGCGATAAGGACAGAAGACTGACGTTCCCATGATGGGAAGCACTATAACTCAATCAACAGTCTCAGTTTTTTAAAACCATTGGTGTTCACCTCTTTCCTCTTTATAGGAAAAAAGGCTCATTGCAGGAATGGATCAGATCATGACGTTTGCCACCCAGGGTCTGGAAAAGTCTATCAAGCTGTGCACTTCTGTCACATGAAGATTGTAATCAGAATCTTGTTTTTAAAGGTGTTAAATTATTCCCACAAAACAAAAAGAGAAAGTTTGATGCTTAGTATCATTAATCTTTTATCAAAAAGGAATTGAAAAAGGCATGTAACTGTGAGCGCAACCAGGAAACAGAAGTATTCAACTGGCTTCCCAAAACCTTCAGTACCTAGTAATGCTGATAAACCTCCAGAAGGAACAGGTATAGTACCCTCTCCTTTAACTGTAGTTCTGTCTGTCAATCAGATTTCCAGGGTTTGAATAACACAGTCACTCCCCATGTATTTATTGGAATGGTTTCCAGAGTATATTGATATTGAATGATATCATTCAATATGTGATATTGAATAGATGGAGTCGGTTGTCCTACAAGCCATTCTTGCTGGAGAAATCTTTAATGTTCTTCTACCAGAGAAAACGTTTCCCCAGGCCTCATCTGTCTTTGCGATACCAGTTTCTTTGCCAGCAGTTGAGAGCAAACCCATGACTGGCAGTCTTTGTCAGCAGCTTTTTTTCCTCAATGTTATTGGGGCTGTGTGTACACTTGTTAGTTTATTCCTTAGGTTGAACTGAATTGGCAGCTAAATTATCTTGGAACGTGATTTAAAAACAGTTCTGCTCTGGAGAAACTGTGTTTTTAAAAAAACAAAAAAACAAAAAAAACCCCACACCCCCATGTATTTATTGGAATGGTTTCCAGAGTATATTGATATTGAATGATATCATTCAATATGTGATATTGAATAGATGGAGTCGGTTGTCCTACAAGCCATTCTTGCTGGAGAAATCTTTAATGTTCTTCTACCAGAGAAAACGTTTCCCCAGGCCTCATCTGTCTTTGCGATACCAGTTTCTTTGCCAGCAGTTGAGAGCAAACCCATGACTGGCAGTCTTTGTCAGCAGCTTTTTTTCCTCAATGTTATTGGGGCTGTGTGTACACTTGTTAGTTTATTCCTTAGGTTGAACTGAATTGGCAGCTAAATTATCTTGGAACGTGATTTAAAAACAGTTCTGCTCTGGAGAAACTGTGTTTTTAAAAAAACAAAAAAACAAAAAAACCCCCACACCCTGTGATAAAACAGACATGTTCCTGTGCGTGTTCACAGTCATACCTGTTTACAGTGGCAGGAGAAACAAAGCCTACATTGCAAGCCTCTGCTGGCGTAGCTTTGCTCATCAGGGCTATAATGAAGTTTGAGCCCTGGCTTTGCACAGCTCTGATAGAAGAAGCAGTTGGTGTGGAGGTGACTTACACTGGTAAACTCGCACTTTTCTAAGTGTGGCTTGTTTTCCTCAGGGGAACAGGGTGGAAGTAATACCACAACAGTGGGAGACAGAGCTGGATTCTGTTGCCTGCTTCTGTACAAATGGAAATACTCATTAACTCCAGTGTCACATATGGCCCAAACTGACTGAAGGCAGTGAGGTTGCACAGATGTAGAGAGTAGAATTTAGCCTGCAAAATCTTTATTTGGGCTGAGGGAACAAATCCAGTTTAGTTCTCAAGTTCCACGTTGAGTTTGGATTGGAGTCTTGATTCTAGAGTCATATGAGAAACATAGGGCCTAAGCTGACCATGTATAGTCACTTCTCAGCCTACAATTGCAGCTCAGATGTTTTTATAATTTGAGGTTGGATTGTTCACATTTCATATTTTAATGAAATCTTGAATATGAGACTGCAAAGAGACATGACCTCTTCCAGTCTCAGTGGGATTTTTTAAAGTGGTTGAAGGTGAAGCCCTCTGTGAGGCTCTTCCAAAATTTTGATTCAGTTTTCAGGTAGAGAAGTTCTAAAATTGTGCTTCTCTCCCTCCCTCTTCTCCTTTTATTCTTGTCAGCATTCACCCATCAGACATAAACTGTCAAACCTACATTATTGTTGGAGGGGGGAAGAGGTAAGTTTCCCAAATACCATTCCTCTCTTTCCAATGCCACTACCACAACTTTAATTTCCTGCCATATGGGCAAATCAGACTTTCTTCTCTGGCTGCTGTTAATCACTTCAGCCGTACAGAGAGGAGCACAGCAAACAACAATCTTGTCCTTTCTTAGAGCGCAGCGTCACACTAGGTCTCCTCTGTCCAAAAAAAGTTTCCTATTTCCTGTATGTCTGAGCAACATGCGGCTTTTTGAGCCTACAAAAACTTTGGCAACCTTTCTGGCAATTAAATATGATTTTGAAATCATATACACTTATTTTTGGAGACCAGACAGTTTGAAACAGTCATATGGGAACTGATAGTTTTGGTTTTGTTTTTCTAAACGTAGCATGGTCTGAAAGTATTTCCTATGAATGCCTGTGTATCTGTGTATTTACTAGGTAGTTTTATTTTTTGTGCATCCAGAAAATAAAACTAATAAAAATGCAACAGGCCAAATTAAAATCCAGTTAAAGTAAGTGTGACTCCCCTGAGCGCAGGAGAGGCTGATTTGGGTTCAGCGCAGGTAGAAGTTGACATTCCTGAAAGAATCAAAATCAAGCGCTTGTGATTATCAGATACTTAGAAGCATGATGGATTTGTTGCTAGAGCAGAGCATTTGCTTTGTGAAGACTACGCGTCTCAAAAGGAAAACTAGAAGAAAAATAGTGCTTAACAATGCCTCTTTAGGATTCTCTGAGGTGGAAGGGAAAACTGGTGTTTTCCCGAAGCATCTGTCCTTCCAGGCCTATCCACCCTTTAAAAGGACTGTGCTTTTCTAAATGATGGTCATGGTTTACTGTGACCACCAAATGGTGTGTTCACTTTCTGAATCTCTTAGCCATGAGCCCTGTGCGTGGAAAAACGTGATATAAAGGCAAACCATAATGCAGCATTAGTTGTTAACTGCAGTGAGCCGAGACCCTTCACTATGAATGCTCATCTTTTGACTGAGTGTTTTGCATTAATATTTGAATTCAGGTAGTAATACAGTTGTCACTTTGAATTGAGTAGGTTGCAGAGGGGAACGGGGAGCTGGGAGTGTACCTTTAGCCGTTGGTGCATCTGACTTCCCAAGCAGATTTTGTAGCATTTGCTGTTGACATCTTTTGACATTAGTGGCCTCTCCATGTGACATTAGCCTAGTTGTGCTGAGATGTGGAGATACTGCAGTCAGAAAAATGATTGCCCTGATAGGGAAGGAATTAATTATACTTCAAAGTAAACTTGCTTTTTCCAACACTGTGAGGTTTCTGTAATATTTAGCTTTTATTTGGAAGCGATAGCGTATAGCATTTTTTATGCTGTTTGGTTTATATTTGTCTACTGCAGGCTTCTTTATATAAGCATAGCCCAATGTTCCCTCCATGGTGGGCACTGTTTTATAGTGTCCTGTTTGCCAGAAATTCTGATTGGAAGTTTACCTCAAGTCAATAAGATGAATATACTACTGGCAATTACAGTGAAGCCCACCTAAGTGAATGCCTGACAGAGGGTAGCCTATAAGGCAAACTTTGTCCCTCCTTTAATGGTATGGCTTCAAATCCTGCTAATACATTGATGCGTATTTGGAATAATTCCAGATTTAGGTGCTGCTTCTGCAAAAGCATAAGCAGATGATGTAACTTTACTCATGCGTAGAGTTCAGCGGCCACAGCTGAGTTGCAAGCAAAGCGTCTGCAAAACCAGAACCTTAATGTGGTGTAATTGAGAGCAGAATTTGCTTCTGTATGTATAGCTGCAGTTTCTCAGTTAAGGCCTGTTAAAACAGACTAAGTACCCATTTAAAAAAAAAAAAAAAAAAGACAAGCAACAAACTTAAGCGAGTTTGCTCTGTACCAAGACTTGACTTGACTAAACTGTTTGCAAAAGGTCCCTGTTGCAGCATGCATAACCAAACTTGCAGGGTTCTGGAGCAGCTACTAGTGCTAATCTAATATCATGAGAACAGTGCACCGAATTGTCACCACTGTCCATTCTCTCCTGTGCTGGGAGCCTGGTCCTGTAATGAGGAGTCACTTGCTTTGAGAGATACTCGGAGCAAGTGTTAGGTTCTTGACACTTGCAGGTTATTTTTTGAAGGTGTAGGAAGTCACTGTACACTTAATAAGCTTGTGAATACACGGCCTTTGGGTAAAGAGCTGTTCCCAACATGTCCTTATTCTCTTTAACTCATAATTAAACTGACTTTTTACTCAACTTTGTGTCTTTAAAATTGAAGAATTTTACTATATAAATTCATGCCCAGGTACGATCATCTGCTGTACTAGTTGGAAAATATTTTAGCCAACTTTACTCCACTAGCAAGTTAGTTACATGTATTTGCCTTTGTGTTACCCTTTTGCTGCCTGCATTCCCAAGTTAAACTATGCATACTGCAAAAACAGTGTATCTGGAAAGCACTGAAAAACCAATTTTGATAGTTCCCCCCCGCCCCCCGTTAGTTCTGACTAGAGCAATTCTTGGTCTGACTTTGAAGTTGTCAATGTGAGGCAGTAAATGGAATAATACGTACTAAACGCTTGATGTCAAACTTTTCTGGGTGGCAGTACCACCGCCACTTAGGGACTTCCAAACGGTTTTTGAGTGTAGGAAGAAAATTGGAAACAGTAAAAGCGTTACGTGTGTCCTATGGACTCGCTATCAGAAGTTATTTTTGCTTTTCGAAGGCAAGGCTTTTAGCATAAATGATGTCGTGGTGGTGGTAATTTAGAAACTCTTTTTATGATTGTAAAGTCCCCAGGCCTGAATATGTTTAATTGCATCCCAATGAGAGAGAAGAGATCAGTGAAAGTTTTGGCTGTTAACAGGATAAGCTACAGAAGTTGACAGTATACTTTGCAGAATGAAAACTACATAAGGAAGAAAGAAGAGGGGGAGATCACTATACTTGCCAATGCAACTTTGTGAACTAGTTTTTTACAATCCCCTAGTTTTGGTGCCTTGTATCTAATTACATTTTGCATGGGACAGAAATGTTTGGGAAATAAGTCTTTAATTCCCCTGTCATGACTGAAGCAGCAGACAGATCTGTGTGTTCTCACAAGTACTGTCAGTATCGCTGACATTTTTATGTTTCATATCTGTATGTGAATGAAAAAGTTTACCAGCAAGCTCAGAAGGTAGTATTTTAGTGTTATATGTTTGAAATCTCTGTATTTGTAATAATTCAAATAATTTGTTCAAAGGCAGATTAGATTTGGCTTCTTAGATTTTATGTTACTCAGGCCCCTTCCAGTCAGGTCAGGAAAACGATGTCTGTCAAAGCGTGTACCTTATATACAATGAGCCCACATGGGGTGAGGAATAATAACTCTGGCAGGGTTTTTGGTAGAGTAGCTGTAGCTTTAGAAAGGACCTTCTGGTATAAATCTAATGATGATAACTGCTGATTTATGACGGAAAAATACAGTTCCCTTTGGCACGGGAGCGTTTGCACAGATGTCTGCTTAGCATTGTAGCCAACGCTTCTGCCTGTGTAAGCAAAAGCATGCCATGGTAATGCCTGCATAAATTTAATATGAAACAGGTACAGTTGCTTAAGGTGGCTAAGTGTCTCTGCTTCAAGAGTAAATAGTAAAATCCAAGCACCTGCTCTGAACACTGCCTTTTTGTGTGTGTCTAATCCCTTCAACTGGTTTGAGATCAGATAGGAAGGACTTAGCTAGGGAACGTATTGCCTGTGGGAACACAAAACCTCAATCAAGTGGGTTTTCTGGTGTCTATTACATTAATATTGATACCTGTTTATTGCAGATGGGAATGTGAAGCATTCGAGCAAGCTTTTAAATTTGTAAAACCACAGCACAGTTCAAATGATCAAAAGCTACATGTTAGTTACCTGTACCAACTTGTGATTATTTGTCTTAGTTGATTTTAGGGGTATGCCTTTAGGCCACTCCTTCCATTGTGCTTATTTTATTTTTGCGTGTGTGTGTGTGTAAGGGTTCCACTTGTTTTAAGGATAACTTTGTACGGTGGGCCAAAATACTGTTTCAAAAGAGTTCTTCAACAAGTCTTCTTAAAAATGTGTTGTTTGCAAAGTACATTTCCAGAAGGAAAAGAAATGACCAGCCCAATGGGCCCCAGACTGACTTTAACCACTGTTAACTATTTATTGTTTTGAAGCTTGTGCATGATACAGAATGCATTGCAGTTGCAGCAAACTGCTGCACCTTTAGGGTGGTTCTTGAACTGCCGTACTACTGATTTTGTACAGGTTGGGGATGGGGAACGAGTTGGGAAGAATGAAACAACCAGTCAACAAAGCCAAGCTGACCACAGCAATAAGCTGTGATCTAAGTTTAGGAGATACAGGAAGCGTTTGACGAGGGGACCTTGTGTGTGTCAGAGGACTGCATACTTTGCAGGCAGAGACAGATGACAAAATACAAATGCAGTCTCATTAGCAGCAAGCTCCTAGTGGTTTTGGGGCAAAAACTTCTCTGATCAGTAATTTCATACTGGCAAAATGTATGGTGCTTTTCCATAAAATGTTACAGTTCCTAAGGAACAGTATACAAAATTCTCAAGTTTTTAGAAAGGAGCTACCTACTTAAAGCCCACAACGTCACTGTAAATGCTTTGCATAACTAGAACTGAGAAAGGAAAGATACAGTTGATGGATTTTACATAGATTTGATTTGTATTTTTGTAGTCTTGGCAACATACTTCCAATAGAGCTGGCAGGAAGGAACCGGATTTTTCCATACCGAACTGCTGGTGCTGGGTCCTAAACTTGTCAAACTCTGTGGAAACTGAGGTTGAAAAAGCCTCCGTTTGTTAACTAGATTGTCTCATTCTGTTCCTGCTTTACAGCCACTTTCTGTATGAGTGTCTCTTTAAGGGAATGTGCAGCTTTTGAATGTTGCTCCTGCTCAAGAGGAACACACATTCCTTCAACATGGGCAGAGCTAAGTGCCCACTCAAGCTAGCCTTATTTTTTTATGTAACCATATCCATACTTTGGGGATAAGTTGTACTGTTACAACTGTGTTAGTATAATTAAATCCATGCAGCGTTTGTGGATAGACAAGGCTTAGGAATGTATTATAGCATGGGCAAGCTCAAGCTATGCCGATGAGTAACGTTACCACAGGCTCTCGGTGCGCTGTTGAATGGAATTTGAGGCTGACAAATTTGAGGCTCCTTCTCTTTTGCACAATTGCTGTAGTGTTTGGTCTGCATAACTCAATACCTCTGATGTAGGAATGACATTTCCTAGCAAGTGTCATCTTTACTCTCCTAACACTTATTAAATGCAGTTACTTGGCCTGGCCCTTAAGGCACCTATGTAAACATTGCTTATTGCTACAAGGTGAACCACAGACTTCCACGTGTAAACAAGGTTTTCAGTAGTTTATCAGACATGTGGAGTACAATAACTTGCCACTGGCAACCTAGAGCTCATTTAAAACAGAACGAGGCTGCATTTTTTCCCCCACTTAACTTCAGCTTTGGTTAAGCACTCTCAAATTCTTTAAGCCACAGCCTTCTATGTTTACCTACGTGAGCAGTTTATAGGAAAGGAACAAGTGGATAAGTTTGTTTCCAGTAAACTTTTTACAAGCCTGCCTTTCCTGTTTCCATAAAACAAACTTAAGTTTAAATGCTCAGGATTGTTAAAATAGCTTCTCTGAGGGGAGTGTTGCCTAGACAAGCTCCGTTACAGTGTGACAGGCTTGGGTAGATTGCTGCGGAGGGAGACTCTGCTTCTGTTAATGCCTTGGAAGCGTCACTGTTGAGTTGAGTTAGAGCAGAATTAAAGTTAATCTTCAGCACTTTAAAAAGTTAATCCTGCTCTAGGTTGAGACTGCTGGAAGGGTACTGTTGGCAGAGGCTGGGCAGAACATCAACAGTTTTCCTTCAACATGAAATCCCCTGCAGCCCTTGTGAAAACAAGAGTAGCATTCTGCTCTGCTTTCTTGGGTGAGGATCCACGCTGGAGCTTGGCCGGGTTTCCTGATTTTTCAGTGACTTCGGTGGGGGCTTTAAGTCAGAACAGCCTCTAGTTTCTGTTTCAAGTTTCTGCTACTTACGTCACTAATGACTTAAGCTGATGTATGCCATGCTGTGCTCATAAATGAGACTGCCTTTGCCTCAAGGACGCTCCTAGGCAGCCGCAAGTGACAAGAGAGAATCCAATTAATTACTGAATGTTTTTGGCAATCTGTCCAGCTGTCCCGTAGCTCAGTGCAAACGCACTTGAAGCACTGCTCCTAATCGCAGGTTCAGCCGCT